AAGAACACGCTTTCCAAAGTCCCCTGGTAGATGATAGAAGTATAAATAAACAAAGAAGATCATATCACCTTTATCTCTCTCAATCCTTCTTGATACCTCATTCAGAATTTCAGCGACCTGCACGTCCTCCAATGCAGAAGCTTTTCTCAGCTGAATTAGGTTGGCAACCAATTCAGGGTTGAAAGGTTTCTCGTTCAATGCATAACGGATGTACTTCCGCAAAATTTCATCCACACTGAAACCTGTCTGGAATGGATAGGATTTAGTTGTTACAATCCATAATGTGAAATGTCCTAGCATGAAGTGATCAATGAAGACAATCAACTCTCATATACGCTGTAAAGAAAACTAGTGTAACTATTCCTCCTAAGATCCTTTGGTAAAATCTGGTTCAGTGGACCTGTGAGAAATTAGGGAATAAAGGAATAGAAGAACTTTCCGCAATATTCATAGAGATTCTGTAAATTCTTTTGATATGGCTGTTCCTGTAAGCTCCAATTTAAGCACACTCTAAACCTTTTTGTAATTATTCCTCCCTTCAAAAATTCACCAACTGAAGGCCTAAAAAAGTTTTCATAAGCTCCTTTAGTTCGAGGATTCCCCCTCATTTCATTTCTCCCCTATCTTTCCCAAGTTCTTAAATGGGAAGTTACTGTACTGTTGCCTCAAAAGAAGAAGAGACTGACCATCCATGTCAGAAAAGCTAAACCAGACAAAAAGCCTCTTACAAAGAAAAACCAAGCTATAATTGAAGATATGAGATATTTAATACAAAACATGGCATTATTTGAAGAACTCAAGATACTTGGACTAGATTTAGTTGATGACAAGAATTATCGCTTCATGGTTACAAGTACAACATAAATTTTACTTGATAATGAAAGAATCTGTAACAGATCTAACCTTCTGCACAATTTCGCTAAGAGCCTCAGGTTTCACTTCATCTCTCCCTTTCTGAAGCAGCTCATCTACTGACTTGCAGAGAATAGCATTTTTTGTGACCTGAACAATATCAACTCCAATCAGTGTAAACTTTATTTCTATAAAAGTGGCACTGACACAGAAATCCACCCGTTGCTGGCACAAATCATTCACATTAGGCACTAGAACTAGATTTTAATCTCAGCCAACTCTCTCTTTCTCACTCACGATTAAACAACTCTAGCATCACAATAATATCAAGATTTAACGATTAAACTGTGAATTTTAATATGTAACAATTTAGTGACTGTAGTATAAAATTATATTTTAATTTTCAAACTTTAGTATATAACGATGTAAAAATCTCCTTAAAATTCAGGCATCTTACATATGTAAACTGATAAATTTCATATGTTATGAAATTTTAAGCACTACATTACATTCTAAAAATCATATTCACCTATGAGATTTATTAGGGCAGGGACTAAATCTAAATAATTACAAATTTGAAATTACGGAGACTGAATCATATTAGGAACTATGTTGTCAAAATTTTAATAACCAAGTTATTGCGTCAGTTTAGAGATCGTTACCGAAGTACACGACCTAAAGTAAATTCAGTTGCAGAGGGGGATGAAAGCAAGTGAGAGAAGGAAGACCTTTCTCCGGCGTTTTTCTTTGGGGGAATTTAATTTCCGAACGGTCTTAACAAAAGCGATGACAAAGGTGACGCCCAAATAAGCCAGAGGAACCGCAAGGATCCAAGGCAACGAGCTCTGACCAACCCTAGGCCCAGGAATTGCCTGAGTGACGGAGCCAGTGAACTCAACGAGGTCCAAGGCCTTCTCCTGAATCCATGGCAGCTCCTCTTCCACCTCCACGAATTCCTCTTCCTCTCCGTGAGTATTACTGCCCTTGGAACTCGTAGATACCTTTGTCGCTGCAGGAACTGCATCGGAGTCCTTCTTCGCCGCTGTTAACAGGAGTGCTGTGCGCTTCGAAATGGTGAATGGGGGAGAGGAAGAAGAAGGAAATGGTGATAGAAGAGACTTGGGGCGAGGAAGCAATTGGGAAGCGTAGGAACAGCAGCAGGAACAGGAACTGAGGGAAGCCATGGCTGAAGGAGGAGGAGGAGGAAGAAGAAGCTCGTTGGTGAAGCGCTTTCTGGGTTTTATCGTCTTCGCTTCAACCACACCGAGAATGTGCAGAAACTCTTTTATTTTTTCAGATTTTTTTTTTTTTGACAGATAAAATAAATGTCACGGTTGACGTTGATATTGATAAATATTTATCTAAAAGTTAGAAAAATATAAAAATAGTAAAAAATATTTAAATTAACCGATAAATATTTTTATTTTTAAATAAATTTAAGATGATTAATATTAATATTATATATATATATATATATATATATAAATGACATTTTTCATATTTTATCAATTTTTTTTATAATATGACGAAAATGTTGATTTACTCTGACAAATATTTAATACCAAATACCATGAACGTCACTACTAATTATTTTAAATTTGTGTTTAAATAATATTCTTACTCTATCAAAAGTTTCGATTATTTATTTTTTAAACAAAGGCAAAATTTATGAATATTTTATGTAAGTTAACCCATCTTTTATTATTAAGTTCTAACATAAATAGCAATTATTTTAATTTGGTGTCAATATAAAATATAATTTTAATCCTTAGACTTCATCTAATTTTCACTCTCTCTCCGTCTAAATGACTTCAATCAGTTTTCTGTTTAAATTTAAAATTTGTACACATCAGTCTTATACTTTTAATAAAAATCCACATTTAATTTTTGAAAAAAAAAGTTTGATGCACTTAAAATGTGAAATAACTCCATTATTTATCAATATGTTATATTTATATTTAGTTCTCGGAATTAAAATTAAAATTTCAATGTTAAATGACTAAAATAGAAAATAAATATTAATTCCAAACCAAAATCAAACCTTAAAAAAGACACACATAAGTTTTATATTTGTCTCGACAGACCATAGAAAAAGGTTCCAATGGCTGTTAAAACTCATATAATAGGATATTTAATAAATAAATTACAAAACAAGTAGATAAATACAATATGTTAGTCTAGTTAATAATAAACTACCGACCTAAACATAACTTCAAATCTCCACCCTAAATAATGTAATATTAAGAAAAGAAAAAAACAAATAATATATTACAAATATTTGAGTTAAACAGGTAAAAGTGGAGATTCAAACTTACGGTCGAAAATATATTTAATTGACTTATGCTCAGATTGTCGTTGCTGCATTGAAGCCATAATTAAAAAAAAAGGCTTTTGAAAAACCATTTGTATCTGCTTAAGCGATATGAAGGGAGTTCATCATGTATCAAACATTATCTGGCCAAAATTCCCTAAAAAAGGCCCTCTCAAATTCCTTCTCTTGAAATATCCTATCTTCCTCTTGCATCTTCCTCCTCCATTTTGATAGCGCCTTTGTTTTCTTCGAAGGAGGATGTTCCTAGAGATCGAAAATAAATTAGGTTAGCTATACTTCCTTTTTTATTTTTTTCCTAGCAATTATTTTGAGTTTGTGGCGAAAATAAATTACGTAGAAACTTTCAAAGATGACCATGTCAAAGAATTTGAATTATCACAGAGAAACACGTGTAAGTTTTGCACGTTGCAGCACATTCAAACCCAATGAAAGCTAGCTTATGAGTTGTTATGAGCAAGTGATCTACGAGATCCAACAGAACTAATAAATGTTTATGGAAAATTTCACTTCATCCCTTTGGCAAAAAGTTGCTCGATTTTTTCTTAGAAAGCAAATTGCTTGATAATAAGCTTCCATTACCAAAATAAGTTGAGCATGGTATCAAAGCCAACAATTTCAACTATCTTGGACTCGAAAATAATCCAGGAAAAATACAATATTCTTAGGCTTTTATGTGGTCAAACGTCAAAGGTTTAGAGAAAATGTGAAAACACTTCCCCTTCCACTATCAATGCAGTAAAGCCTTGGCTTAGGTAATTCTATTGGAAGGAAATTATAAAGTATATAATGATGAGTAATCAAAAGTTGGACGAATTATTGAAATGTCTAAGTTGCGGCGTTCCCCTTCTCGTCTGATTCTTTTTGTAATTATACTCGTGTTTTAATTCTAATTGGAAAGCGGAAGCTTTACCTGGTTATTTTTCCTGTCAGAGGCTGCAATATCGATAGTTTCTTTAAGCTTCTTCTTCACTTTATCTGCTCCCAAGCCTCGTTTATTATTCTTTACAGATGTTTGTACGGGTTCCAACCTTCCCTGCTTGCATGAGAATTCATACAGTTAGTTTTCAAGAGTAAAAAACGCTGGAGGATAGCAAGAAAACAAAAGGGCGTTACCATGACCTAGTTTACATCATAAGAGGAAACAGCAGTGTTTTTTGTTTTAAAAAAAACAACAACAATAAAACAAAATTTTATGTACACCAAGAGGAAGAAACAAAGACACTATTCTCCAATATGACATCCATCTAATGTTACCCTCTAGAAAAGTTCATATATTCTTTCTTTTTCTTTTTTTATAACCAGGAGTTAGAACTTTGCTCCTCTGTATACAGATCTGAGAGACATCAAGGATTTTTTTGTATTAAGTTCACTCGAAGGTTCGAATGTTGCCCTAACTGCATTTAGCACTAAATTTTAGTCGTCATTTTGAAGAGGTAACCACCAACAAAGGCAACAGGTAAATAAAGCAAGCAAAGTCCAATGAAAATAAAAAATATGCTACAAGAATCCATCCAAGTTCTGGAGTGAAAAAGCACCAAAGGAAGTGATGGTCTACTGCAGAGACAAGCCAAAATAGGGGAGAGTGGGAAGGTTCATGGACTTACCACATGGGGATCAAAATTTTCTGCAAAGAAAATTCCTCTAGTAGCTTTTAAATTTATAATTATTTTTTTATAAGAAACAAAAAATGAATTGAAGAGAAGAGAGGTACAGCCTAATGGCAGGGGAAGATAGAACCCCTCCCCCTAAAGAACTGATGGAATTGTTTTATAAACAGAAAATAAAAAGTTGATGAAATATTAACAGATAGATTTAAAAAAATAAATACATTTCTTTAGGAAACGAACAGGTTGGAGTATTTCCCAACTTCCCAAAAATGAATTGGTCTTTCCCCATGGAAAATACTCCCTGCTCGACCATACCCTAGTCAGGTAAGGAATTTTCCATCCCGACCAGTCCCCGCTAGTAATTTTGCCATTCTTATTTCTTATCAGATAGACAAGGCACAGTGAGGGAACCTAATTTAAAATTTATCTTTGGCTTACTGAAAACCTCCTAACGGAATGACCATAAAAAGACTCAGATTTTCTCGAATAATGATACTTTCCACCTAACCCTACCCTGCACACTTGGTGTTGGTGGTTGAACGACAGAGCAACTTGGGTAGGTCCAAGGTAAGGGATATAAACATGAAGGAGCCTAGTTATCACGTCTCCAGACTTCAAAAGCAATTCAATTACCACCACTTGATCATTTAAATTTCTCCTTCGGTCAATCCTTGACATAGAACTTGAATCCAAACAATCTCAAGAGAGGCATCCCTTGTTGTTAGAAACCACACAAAATCTAAGAAAAAGCTGAAATTTCTAACACCGACCAACACAAATAATACCCTTTCTTCAACATGGATTTTAGGACTTAGGATAGCTTTGCAGGGACTCCTAAAATAGCAAAAGTGGAGCAGAGGCTGCCAGTACCTCAACATCATCTTTATCTAAACCAAACTTACCGTCTTACTTAGCACAATCTTTGTGTACATGAGATTTTCATGTTATAAGATTCCTTGTGCAATTCTTTCAAAGTTATTGGAACTCTTTCCTCGTTTGAGAATCCACTCCTTCCTTCCCTTCCTACCATCATATAAACACCACCGCATTACTTACTCAGTATTTGTACAGTTACGTAGTAATAGGGCAAAGGTTCTAAATTCTTCAGTTTCCTTAAGCAAGTAACTAATTTTTTAATTTATTGAAGTATGTATGACTAGTTTTATTGAGAGTAAATGATAGAACATGAAAACTATTTGTAAAATAACCTGCTCAGAAACTCCAAGGCCCGTTCCTTCCCTCCAACCATGCTTCTTCAAAAGCTTCAAGAAGAAAACACAAAAACACAAAGGGAAGTCAGTATACAAATGAAGCTCAAAGATTGGAATGTGTGACCTAAGAAGAGAAAAGGAAGAGGTAAAAAGGGGCAAACACAATCTTTGCATGCTTTAGGACTTGATATATGTGATAGTGAGTGAAAGAGAGAACCTGAAACCCTATGTTCGAGGAATCAATGGCTGTAGCAGAAACGGTGCCCCCTGAGCTCGACTCAAAATTCATCCTTCCTCCTGAGGCACCATGATCAAAGACAACATCACCCCAAAGTAAAATAATGCCACATAAAGTGGCCCCCACCCAAAACAAATGCTTTTAGGTTCCTTGAATAACATAAGAAATTTAATTTATAATCTTCCTTAGTAGACATTAGTTATATTTATTTTTACTAGTGCATTGTGGAATCTAAAATGAAGATGTTTTCTTTACAATAAACCATTCTGTTAAAAAAATCTTGAATACAAGAGTGAAGTAGTCTCCCAAGAAACCAAAAGGTCTACAAAAAAGTGCCCAAATTGGTAAGAATAAAAGATTACAAAGTAGACTATAATTATAAATTCTTTGGACAAAACACACCAAAAATATGCTAGCTGCTAGGAATCTAGTGATATCCAAAAACTCTTAGAAACCCCTATCCCTGTCTTCCAGTATTCTTCAATTTCTTCCATCCAAAGTCCCAGAAAAAGAGTGTTAATCACGTTGGTTAAAAGTCATATCATACTGACGCTGGCACACGAAAACATGCAAAAATGAAAACTCAGAGTAAATGTGCACATGAACCAACAAATTATGAGCTAGTCTCTAAGTTTTGAATGTTCCTCTTTACGCTGAATGAGTTGAAGCTCATGACATAATCACGGTGAGTACTAAAAGTAACCATCAAACATTGGAAGCATAAGGTGGACCAGGTAATTAGTAAATCTAAGGCATAAGAAAGAGCTGAACCAGGTAATTAGCTCATTTCCACTATTGATTACTGCATAATCTTAACGAAAATTATTGCACCTTTCATTAAGTGTGCCTGGAAGTGCAAAGGGTACACCAGTCATGAGGGAGAGGAAATGAAACATGTCACCAAAACTCTACAAGTATAGCCAACTATTAAAAATCAACGACACTACGTGTAATGAAACACACAAGACAGTGAAGTTGCAAGGCCGTGCTTTTGTTACAGATAAAAACTTCCCGATGCACAATCGATTATGATCTTAAATTACTGATTATGCGTTTGAGCTGCATGTCTACCCTAGAACAAAGTACCACTTCAGTGGATAGATACTTATATTCATTATGACTACAAAATCAAAACAAATATTCATAATATCAATTCGGAAATGGAATAACTTCTGGTTGAATCAAAATCTGGTCAGAAGTGGCCAGTGCACAATCCTGTCAAATTGACGGTTCTTTAGATTCAAATCTCCTAGTTCTTTTGCCATACTTCTCGCCGAGCACTTTTGCACACTTCAAACTGACTACCATACTCTAAAATCAATTAATATATACAGATTTATGCAGCTCCAAATATAACATTCAAATATGGAATTACGTAAAAACTAAAAAGCAGATGCCGAAACTTCTCTTCAGTTGAAGTATGCATGGCTCAGATATAAAATTAGGCAGAGTTAGAATCTCCAACAAGTGATAGAACAAATAACTAAACCTACATCTCGTACACGAATTAACCCACTCGCCTATTTCTTTTCTACGAGTGCATTTAGTATCTGTAACCCAAACTCGAAAAACATCCATCGCATAAAACGTAATTCTTAGAGGACAAAAAACACGAATTGAAGAAGCGGCGAACCTGGAAGGACTTTTGGATGATCTTGAGGCCCAGTGGAGAGAATATAGGGCCAACTCTTGAAGAGTAGAAAATTCCGAAGCCCTAATCGAAATCAAAACTTGTAGAACTTTTGCACTTTGCCCTAACCCTAGCGCGTCGCGTATTGTTGACCCTTCTCCAGCTTCTTGATTCTGAATGACGGAGGATGCCGTGGAAGTGCAATTTCTGAACTTCACAGATTTCGCGCGTTCTCTCTCAGCAATCAGAATTCAGGAGTATGAAGGTGGGAATGCCAAAAATCCAACGGGTCGAGTACCCCGCGAGCCCGCCCCGAACGGAGCGGGTAACCCGTTTTAAACCCGACGTTGCCGGGAAAAAATCTACCGATTCTTTTCGAGGATGGAGAAATACTAATGATAATCATAATAATGTTTTTTTAATTAATTCAAACTCATGCTCTCTTGATTTTGAAATATATATCAATTAACTCTGACTTAGGTACTTAGGTTTGTTTTGGCATAATCATAATAATGTTAATATTAATTATATACAACATGTAATTAATTTTAAAAATAAAATAAGAACATGTACGTATTTATTTTATAAGACCCTCATTTCATTTTCATCTCACCTCCACGACCATCGATAATGTAGGCATATATCATCGACCGAAAAATCAGATGTTCGAATTTTCACCTTCCAATATTGTTGAACTAAAAACAATGTATGGTACAAACACGTCAACTTGAACATAACTTAGTGGATTGAAACACATATGTTTGATCAAAAAGTCGTAAGTTCGAATATCTGTGCGCCCCCAACATACTAAAAAATTGTATGCTACCAACATAGATATTACTTGATGAGTAAATTGTTTTCCCAACTATTTGAGGTTCAAATCTCATATATTTGTCGAACTAAATATAATAATAACAGATAGAGCATGCTCCTCTCTCTCAAGCCTGTTAAACTAGTATTGTCTCGAGCATTGGAATGAACATTGTATAAGAAATGGAGGGATCTATTATACCATCAACATTTTAAAACATCGGGGGTGACACGCGTAGTATCGGTAATACTAGTTAGTAGTGTTATATAAAGAGTGCATATTCATTATGCTCCTTTGACAATACATGTTGCTATCATATACTGGTTGTATAAGTGCGTGCACACAGTGTCATGATATATAGTTTTGTTTCAAAATTGTGTGCATATATTAAAAAATAAGTGTCTACATGGGTATTAATACGAAAACTAATGTCATGCACGTAATTTTTATCAAGTCAATACGCATGTAAATAAATATAAACAAGTTTAAACGTAAGTTAGTATGGTGATTGGTGATGGTTAAACATGACATATGAATTTACCCTTTCACATGCTTGACCTGAATTGGAATAGTAAATGAGCAAACAACGATTAATCGAAAATAACTTATGTTGGATGAGACTACTAAAACAATGTTCACTTAATTTATTACAGAATCACGACCTTACTGAAAAGTGAATCGTGCTACATCGTTAGAAACATATAATAAGCGTCGTCCATGACATGTTATATGGAAACCATTTATATCATATTAGTGCGATTTAATTGATAAAAATATAAACTATAATTAATAGATCATGTGAATATACGAGTTAAATAAACATAAATGGTTACATTATGAAAATTTTAATTAAAATACTTGTCGACTATGGTCTCAATATTTAAATCTAACTAAACATTAATTACACAGTGGGTATGACACACAAATGTTGTGTTACTTCGACGATATAACAATTCAAATAAAATAGTCGATATTCAAACTTGTAATTTATAAGAGATTCTAACAAGAAGTCACATGTTATAAGTACATCAACGACGATGACACAAGTTAAATAACATTATTATTATGTTTTTAGTTTAATATTGATCGATGAGGATTGAACCACCATCAATATTTTATTCACATAACTATATTTAAATTACCTAAATAGTGTTATTCAAGCAGCTTAGTTGGCAAGGATTTAGATTATTGGACATAGCTAACTTAAATGTCTCACATTAGAACATTCCAACGAAATTAATACCAAGGACGTTTGTGTCTCTTTTTATTAAAAAAAAAAAAAGAGAAAAAAGAAACCAGTGCTATTAAAATATTCAATAGTGTTGAATACTTGTAAATTTCATTGGATTAAATCCACAATTGAACAAATTAGTAACTATTAATTTGTATTTTTTTTTTCAGAAGAGAGGTATTTTTGGTTGTGAAATTATCAAAGGGGGGCGGGGAGGGAAGGGATAGATCTGTTTGGTCAGCGTCGGCTCGTTCCACTGAACTTTCAATTTCAATCGGCTAATACAGCTTCCTTATAATTAATCGGACTTCTCTCTCTCTCTCTAGGGTTGTTCTTCTCGTTCCCCCTTTCCATTCTTGCTCTTCTGCTGCTGGCAATTCGAGGAAGAGAGAGATGGATTTGGACCAGTGGATCTCCAAGGTCAAGGAAGGCCAGCATCTTCTTGAAGACGAGCTTCAACTTCTTTGCGAATATGTAAGATTTTATTGTTTTTACTCCCACCCTTAATCACTTTCTGGCGATTAATCTTCAAGACTTTCCGTATCTGATGGTAGTTAGGGTTTTATACATCTTGGAACTCACGCCTGTAAACCCCTTCTCTATCTTCATTGATGCTGCGGTCTTTGCTTCCACTACCAGGGTTTATGTTTCCATTTATTGGGTTGATCATATAGTTTCTTCAGCTGTTTACGTTTATTGGACACGAAATGTACTTCAATGAAGTTTTAGAAAAATGAATGTTGAGGTTATTGCTTGTATTCCCAGAGATCAAATTCTGTTTGGAAATTTACGACATGGTGTTTATGCTTTGTATATATCGACGAGGATGTGTAATATGCACACTCGCTTAAGAAGGCACTGTTGAAATTATGGATAGCCTTATGAATTTGGGCCGTTAATGGGTTCATACTCTCTGCATAACAGGTAAAAGAGATCCTCATCGAGGAATCTAATGTGCAACCTGTCAATAGTCCTGTAACGGTCTGTGGTGACATTCATGGCCAGTTTCATGACCTGATGAAACTTTTTCAGACCGGAGGTCATGTACCAGAGACAAATTATATCTTCATGGTATGTCTTGTACTTTTTGGACAATCAGACGGTCACTTGCTGATTCTGTGGGGTGGTTAACATTGATCATTAATTGTAGGGCGATTTTGTTGATCGAGGCTATAACAGTCTTGAAGTTTTTACCATTCTTTTGCTTCTTAAAGCCAGGTAAGGTTTTATGCATGTTCCGGTTGCCTATGGGTTTGAAAATACTCGTCATGTTTGCAAGGCCCTATAATTTGTAGTTTCTTTCTTTATGCTAGTGCGTTCTTTGGTTGTTTCCGGCTTTCATCTAGATTGTAAACTATCAAGCAAACTATGGTTAATGAAATAAATGTCTGAAATGGATCATGTTGATTAGTAACAAAGAATAAGGGGTATTATCTATACGTTGCACATCCACATTAATGTTTGGTGTCAGTTTTTTGGTTTATGGATGATTAATGGGAACATTCCTATTGACAGTAACATTCTATTGCGTAAAAAGTTCATGAGCAGTTTTGATTCAATTATTTTAATTAGTGACGACCCAGAAGGAGGTTGCATGTGATTTTCAGCCTTCATTTAGTTGTTTTGAACTTATAGTACTGTATCAGTTTATAGTTTATATTGAACTCTATATGCAGCTATCCCAAGATGTTTTATGTATTTGGTTATTTATTTTTAATTTTTAAGGGAAGAGGCTACATGCTCATTTTATCATTTGGCTTCTTGTTCAATCGTCATTTGTTTGTGATGAACTTATGTATAACCTCTAAATCTAAAAGAAGTCCTGAAAAAATGATCTGGCTATGAAGTTTGGTTTTATATTCGGTTACCTGCTATGACATTCTTTAGAAAAACGAACGATGCATTTTCCTTGAGAAAATTTATATGTCTTCTCAGATATCCGGCGAACATCACACTCTTGCGAGGGAACCACGAGAGCAGACAGCTTACTCAGGTTTGAATTTTTTATTTAGTTTATTGAGGCTGAGATGCTATTTATATTGTAAAGTATTCAATTGGAAACTTCTATGGCTAAAATGTAAAGGAAAAGAGACGAGTCTCTACTTTCGAGACATTTTCTTTTGATAGAGTTTCCCCCTAGTATTGCAATGATGGGTAAGTTGGAGAATTTAGGCCTTCAACAAGTTACGTTTCCATATCAGTCAGTGTATTTTTTTCTTACTGAAAACAGAGCTGAAAAAACACCTTTCCTCAAGGTGTTACAAGCATTCTGAAAGTTGCTATAGATAGTAAAAAACGTAGGAGAATTTAAGCCTTCACTAATTGATGTTTCCATCTCCCTCCAATGTTTTTCATTTCCACAAGGTCACAAGAACTCTGAAAGTCATTCAAAAAGGATTTAGAGGGAATTGGTTCAAACTCCATGATGGCTATCTACCTAGGAATTAATTTTCTATATGTTTCATTGGCAACCAAATGTAGTAGGGTCAGGAAGTTGTCCCATGATATAAGTCAAGGTGCGCGAAAGTTGTCCTTGACTTGTGAATATATAAAAAAAAGAATTCTGAAAGTCATCATAAATAGTAAATTCTATGCCATCCTTGCATTCTTGCTACATCAATTAATTGACACCCTAATTATATCGTTATACGTGCCCTTTTTTGTTTTGGCTGAGTCACTGTTAGTGACTAAAATTCTTCATTCAAAAGTTTCCTGCTTGTACAAACAAGTACTTGCTGGAAATTTTTGTATGACATTTTCTTGATTAACGGAAACTTCTGTAAGTATCCTTTGCACTATTTTCCACGATCGGAAGACTGTTCTTTTGTAGTCAGCGTGGGAGAGTGTTTCCTCTAGCTCCGGCTTCTTTGTTCTTCTCTTGCGGTGTTTCTTTATGAAAATGATTTAGTTTCTTACTAAAAAAAGATTAATGGAAACTTTGAATATGGTGGTGAGGACATTGGATTCAAGTTCAACCAAGTGGGGAGCATTTAAAATTTGTTGAGGTCATGATCTTAACTTTAAGATAATTATATATTATAGGGACAGGTTGCAGTCCTAGATTTGAACCGGGTGAACATAAGGTTGGAGGATTTCTGAGTTTGGGAGCAAATTATTTATTGATCTAACTCAGTTTGAAACACCTAAAAGTGACTTTGGCATTGAGTTCTGGTCCCAAGATGCTTTTAAACACATTTTCCGCAGCCATAATTCCAGTCCATTTTGGACTTCCTTTCCTCTTTACATGAAACTTGTTGAGTGGAGATCATTTTCTTGCATTATATTGAGATCTTCATCCTCATACTTGTTGATTACATGGATGTTGATATGAAAGTTAACTTTATTGTAACATCATTAGTGCTACAACTTTCTTGCTAGGTCTATGGTTTTTATGATGAGTGCCAGAGAAAGTATGGAAATGCTAATGCATGGCGGTACTGTACAGATGTTTTCGACTACTTGACACTCTCAGCAATCATAGATGGAACTGTAACCTCTCTCTCTCTCTTGCTCCCCACCCCTGATTGTGTGGTCTGATGTGCAGAGATATATGCAATTGGTTTCATTATTGCATGAGTTTGCCTTGACTGTTTCTTGGTGCTGGGTGCTCTTTTGTAATTAATAATTTTTTGCTTGCTTTTGTTACCATCTCAGGTTCTTTGTGTCCACGGAGGGCTCTCCCCTGATGTTCGAACAATTGATCAGGTTTCCTTATATTCTTTCAAATGATGACCTGCTTTTCTATTGACCTGTGCCTTATCTTATGACACACATTTTATGATATTTATGCACCAATTTCTTAATGTGAAGGGATAAAATATATGAACATAGGTCAACATTTACGCCTTATATGGATACTTTGATATAAATTGTCCAAGCTTTCATATGTGCCATGAGGAGCATTATTGAAATTAAGTGGCAGAGATTAATTGTCAATTTGAGCATAGCTCACCTAGTTAAGACATATATCATTGATCAAAAGTTTAGAGATTCGAATCCCCACTCCAAATATTGTTGAACCAAAAAGAACTTGACCTCATTGTATTGAAAAGGATTGGACAGGGAAGAGAGTGCATAGTAGTCCTGAAACTGACTGTTCTGGAGCAAACCTGTTTAAGACACTTTCTTACAGTGCTAAGGCTGCAAAAACCAGTTTATCATGACTTATTGTTTATTTCTTTGCACTCATTTGGTAGACTGCCCATACTACCATTTTTGATAGACTTTCTGGATTATCTGCCAATATTAGTACAGACTACAGAGTTCTTTCTCTTACTGGCATTTAGATTGGTCAATTGGTGTGAATCCCTTAAAAGAAATGAAAGGAAAAAACTTATCTAACTGCAGCTTTGTATGTGCCTTGTCGACACTTTGACTGCGTACACTATTGTGCTCGATCTGTTATGATTTTTTTACTGATGAACTGTTCAATAATGTTTGTTAATCCTATTTGCCAATGGATCAGTTTGGAACTTTACTGGCTTGAGGCCTTTTTTCCATCATTTTTCTTCCGCTGACAGATAAGGGTGATTGATAGAAATTGTGAAATTCCGCACGAGGGACCTTTTTGTGATCTTATGTGGAGTGACCCAGAAGATATTGAAACATGGGCAGTTAGTCCACGTGGTGCAGGTTGGCTTTTTGGTTCCAGGGTTACTTCTGAGGTAATTTTATCTGTTTTAAAGTTCAGCCACATAACTTTCTTCGAGCTTAGGCAGATTTTCATTGTTGCAGTTCAACCACATTAATAATCTTGATTTGGTGTGCCGAGCTCATCAACTTGTACAAGAAGGTCTGAAGTATATGTTTCAGGATAAAGGCCTTGTGACTGTAAGGCTCGGATATCTAGTTATTATTTCTTTCTATAATGATAGACTTAATCTGGTTGATTGGGTTAGTTTATCCTTCAATTTGCAGGTTTGGTCTGCCCCAAATTATTGTTATCGTTGTGGGAATGTGGCTTCTATATTGAGCTTTAATGAGAATATGGTGAGTAATTACTTGCTCACTTTAGTTGTTTTAATTTACCTTTTCTCAAAGAAGAAAAGTACTCGTCCTTATGATATGTTATTATTGGTTGAAACGCTATTTTGTATTTTGACTTTTTTCACGGTGTCTTTGATCTTGTCGTAAATAGACACCCAACATTTTTCGGCTTCTCTTCCGTGCATTTTATGTACAAAGAAGGGGAGCCCCATTGAATAATTTCTCCATTCTTTAGAGTTTGAACCTCTGGCCGACTCTCTCTCTCTCAATAATGGTTTTAAAAAATGGTTTCATGGTATTTATATGCAAGTTTATTGTTCACCAAACCCATTTATTATTAACTTCAAACAGGAAAGAGAAGTGAAGTTCTTCACTGAGACAGAGGAGAATAATCAGATGAGGGGCCCGAGAACAGGAGTGCCATATTTCTTATGATGAAGGGTGGTTGATGGTTGACCATATTTGTGAAACTATCGAGCTATCATGATTGGGCGATAAAGATCTCTTTAACGAGGATACCTTAAATTTGTTGTTTGCAGGTAGATCATTGTTCAGCTTGGGTGGATATTTCCTCCTTGGCTGATAAGATAGATATTTTGGGCTGTGAATTACGTTGGCAGTAGGTAATTTATTTATTCAGCAGTTTGCATTCAGAGTATGTTTCTTGTTCAGACCGTTTTAAATTCATTTCTGTGTATCACTATTGGAAAAGGAAAAAAAAAACGAAAATCTCAGCCAGCCAGCAACGTCTGTGCATTATATTGCCTGCATTTAGCATGTTTCGAGAAGTCAGATACTTCTCGACATTAATCAATGTAGAAAGTATGTAGGGATGAGAGTAATTTGTTTGTGCCACTAACTACTGGGACTCCATAATTTGTATTTTTGTTTGCCTCTATAGCCTTCCTCTCCCTCTTCCATTACACTGAATTTGCTTTCCTGAGTCAAGTGTCAGGCTTTCGAGTTTTTGGTCTGGAGTAGCTGGAGGGTTCTATTTATCCTTCTGTTGATCAATGTGCATATTAAAAAATCATAGTATTGACAGTTCTATTGAATGAATGGCTTAGACTGAGAATTGGACAATCAAGGGTGGAAATTATCATAGAATATTTGGAAACCAAGTCTTCCAGAAGAGGGAATATATAGAAGTCCCTTTTCTTATTAAACGAAGGTATTAAAAAAATGTACTGTTTATGTATCAAGTATTGGAGAACTACCTGCTGTTGAAGCTTTGATTTTGGAGGTTAGAACTGACAATCAACTGTGACAGGGATGTTCATGTTATTAGTCAGATGAGAAATGAGCATTATGCACATTCTTTTTGAGGTAATAGATTATAGCTGTAATGTAAATGGCAGTAATTCTGATTTATCATATGCTTTGAACAAAATTGCCTTATGTTGGATCAAGAAGATATAGTGAATGTATAATGAACTGATCACGCAAAAAATTGATTGTATATGGTGGAATTTGTGCTGGAAATGGAATGCATTTTTGGATTGGATGAAATGAAACTCATCAATCTCATGAATCTATCCTTGACCATACAAATGTCATTAATGAATTTCGTTGATTAAGAATACTAATGTGATTTCTTGTGTAATTATTTTCTTAGAGTTTGCACTGAATTGGAATTTGAGAAAGTAGGGATGCTGAGTTATGTTAAGTTGTAATTATTAATATTCAACTACATAATAGGTTGATCGATTGACCTTTTTTTAAAGTTAAATATTAGGAGTAATGTTTGAATGTTAGAGTGTTGTCGGATAGGTTCTTAAACTTAAAAAAGTATATTGAGACGTGAATGGAATAGTCTCTTTTTGTTAACTCCCTTTTAAATGGAAAATGGAGGTTGTTTGAGGAACATGTGAAATGACTTCCATTGTTTTCTTGTGTGCTTGAATGTCAACGATTTTAATTCTCCAAAGAATTTCTCATCCTTATTTGATTGGCTTATCTAATTATTATTAAACATTTAAATTTTAAACTAAATCTAATTTTTTAAAAATTATTTCATACTTTATATATATATCTATATTTCACATATTTTGTTCAATGATGTAATTAGATTGGTTTAGAAATTATCAATAAAAAAACAACATTAAACTTTAATTTATTGACTCAAATAATTTTCATATATGTATATATGATTTTGTTTCAATAATTTAAAAACTTTCCATCAATATCCACTATTTTTGTAATTTTTCCCGAAATATCCATCGACATCGACAGACTTCAACATTTTGAACATTGGTCTAAAAGCATAGGTTTTTACATTTTTTATTTTGTATCTAATAAGTATGCAAATTTTTTAAAATATTGAATATACAAAAATCTACCTTTTTTAGTACAACAAATAAGAGTAGGGGGAGTCGAGCTCATAACTTCTTAGTCAGAGACGTGTGTTATTTATTGCTGAATTAAACTCATGTCGGTACAAAATCGTTACTTCAACACAAGTATAACCTTATTATATATATATATATATATTTTTTTTTTTTTTTTAATAAGGACCAATAATTTAGTGTGTGGTCGGTGATGGTGGGGATAAGGTATGGGATATTTTTGTACAGCCAATGAGATTGAGAAGTCGTTTTTCTTTTTACCCAATAATTGATGTCGATGTCATCCCCCACCAAATCCCTGCAAAGAATCAGATATGGGAAATTACATGGCCCAATCCCCAACATAGGTTCATGTGCCAACTTATTCGTCAAAACAGAGCTCAGTTCTGACTCCGATTTGGATAAAATTTTGATCGACAAAAATCTGCAAATAGTCGGTGGACATCAATTTTGCTAGCAAAAGATCTCCTAACTGTCAACAGATAATTCGTTGAATGACAGATATGAGTGCTGTGGTCATAGAATCGCATTTTTTGATGCTTCTCTGTAAAAGGCCAGAGATTCATTTTCTCAAAGGTACGTAATCTTACTAACTTAAGTTTTAAAGTGTACGTGACCGAATAGCCACCACACCAGTTCAAGAGCAGATTGACAATGAAGCACACATTGACAGTTTTGTCATTGGAATATGATTTTTTAAATAAATTTGTGAACCTTACGTAGTCACATGTCTCTATATCGTGGATAACTAGGCAAATTGGCACTGATTGCTCAATCCTTGGAGCATTCAATCATGCTCTATAATTATTCTTATTTTTATGATTTATGTTTTTTTTTTTGTGATGCAATAATAATATAAAAAGTCGTTTAAGATAAATTGATAGAATTCATAATCCAATGCTAACTAATACAATTTAGTATTAGTAATAACATTTCAGCTTTATTTTCTATTTTGATCCCTTCTGAAGTTGCGATCAAATATATTTATTAAAAATAATGAAATTAATTATTTCTTACGTAAGACTCTAATTTTTCTAATTTTGTCCTTCTTCAATAAAAAAAACTCATTCTCTTAGTAAAAAAAATAAGAGTTTGAAGCCAATAAAAATACCTTATTTTTCTCTATTTCTCTGATAAAATAACAAACACATATTATTTCCATAGTTTATAGGATATATATGTTAATTAATTTTTTTTTCCAATTCTCAAAAAAGAAAAAAAAGGAAGAAGATATTTTAATAATTTTTTTCGATATCAACATTCTCAAATTTTTTTATTGTTTATTTTTAAAATTAGTATTCCAAATTATATAAATTGGTTAACACGTAATTGGAGAAAATTGCCATTTTTGAATAGTATAGAAAAAAGCGCTGACTGGAAATATGAAGCCATTGCAACAAAATGTATTAGGCTTACTTAGAAAAATCCGTATTCTTTCTATTTCAATAGTCCTACTTTCGCCGGCTCCGCCGTCCGTGGCTTCATCCCGTCACTTCCGATCGTTGTTCCCGTCGACTGCCGCCACAATGAGCAGCTCTCAGTCGCCTCCGGTGGCCAAGAAGGTGGAGCACAGAATGGAGTTGTTCGGAGACGTGAGGATCGATAATTATTACTGGTTCCGCGACGACTCTCGAACTAATCCCGACGTCACCTCTTATCTGCAGCAGGAGAATGCCTACACCGATTTCGTCATGTCCGGTGAACTATATTTGACCTTTCGTTTTGGTTCTGTTTTGATGGATTTTTCTTTTACTTGAAGTTTGTGAGAAGTTTATGAACCACTGAAATGATGGCATTGAATGAGAATAGCATAGTTTGATTTATCGATTTCTGATGATTTGTCTGTAATACGGATCCAGTAATGATGCGTGCGTTTTTTCTTGTTTCGTTTCGATTCTGTTTTCGCGAATTTTTTACTTGAAGTTTGTGAGAAGTTTATGAACCACTGAAATGATGCCATTGAATGAGAATAGCGTCGTTTGATTTGTCGAGTTCTGATGATTTGTTTGTAATGCGGATCAAGTAATGAATGTGTGCGTTTTTCTCGTTCCGTTTCGATTCTATTATCGCGATTTTTGTACTTGAAGTTTGTGAGAAGTTTATGAACCACTGAAGTGATGGCATCGAATGAGAATAGCATTGTTTGATTTATCGATTTCTGATGTTTTTCTGCAACGTGGATGCTCTAATGAATGCGTGTTTTTTTTTATATCATCCATCTAGGAACGAAGAAAGTTGAAGAACAGATTTATGGTGAATTAAGAGGTCGAATCAAGGAGGATGACATATCTGTGCCTGATCGGAAAGGTGCTTATTATTACTACGAAAGGACTCTAGAGGGGAAAGAATATGTTCAATACTGCCGGCGTTTTGTACCCCGTGGTGAAGCGTCGGCTTCTGTGCACGATATCATGCCCACTGGACCTGATGCTCCTCCGGAGCAAGTTATATTGGACGAAAATATTAAGGCCCAGAATCAATCCTACTACTGCATTGGAGCCTTTGAGGTACTGTGTAGGCGAGCAACTTCTTCAGAATTTGATCCCGTTTCTCTTGGGCATTACTGATTTAAAGATCTTTCTGCTCATTTCTTCTCCAGGTTAGTCCAAATAACAAGCTAGTGGCGTATGCAGAAGACACTAAAGGAGATGAAATCTACACTGTTTATATAATCGATGCCGAGACTGGAGCTCCCGTGGGAAAGCCTCTTGTAAACATGACATCGGATATCGAATGGGCTGGTAATGACGCTTTAGTTTACATCACAATGGATGAGATTCTTCGACCTGATAAGGTGATTTTCTACCCCATGTCCTGTATTTTTCGTGGCTTGTACTGTGATTGTCTCATTGGAAAGCGCTAAGCCGCTAAAAATCATTTAGTTCTGTGGGAAACTAAATTCAGAATCGACTTCTAACGATGGTACATGCACTAAAATGACTATGTTCTTTTATACCATTAGAATAGTTTGCATTTCCTCTAATCCCTTATTTGTGATACTGATATAAATTCTAATATATGTATCACCTAATAGGTAGATATTCAGAAGAATAGACGCACAGGAGTTTTTTTATAGTTGTAAAGAGCATTGTCCAGAATAATTTTCGGGTGGAAATATATCTGTTAAATACAATATATTACATTCAGCATTTGCATTCTGATGTTCCCATAAATATTATGGTCAAACTTCAAGTTAAAAATTCCTTTTCAACTTATCCAGATGGTGATCTAGTAATTTTTTTTCTGCTTCAATAGGCATGGTTGCATAAACTGGGAACAGAACAGTCAACCGACACCTGCCTTTATCATGAGAAGGATGATACGTTCTCTCTTGATCTTGACGCTTCGGAGAGCAAGAAATATTTGTTTCTTGGTTCTGAAAGTAAATTTACTAGGTTCAACTTTTATCTTGACGTTTCAAAGCCCGAAGATGGGCTTGTTGTTTTGACACCACGAGTGGATGGAGTCGACACTTTTGCCAGTCATCGTGGAAATCATTTTTATATCAGGAGACGAAGTGATGATATTTTCAATTCAGAAGTAGTAGCTTGCCCACTTGATAATACATCTGCAACGACAGTTATTCTTCCACACAGGGAAAGGTACTGATTGGTGTTCTATTACAACAGTTGATATCAACATAATGTGAAGTAGATATAAAAGTGGTTGTGAAGAGCTGATAGTTATGACTTGACTTGAATCAACATACCTTGGCAGAAAAGATATCTTTGTTGGATCTTTTCTTGCTGTCTACTTATTTTATTTGTTGGAAATATGTTACGACAGCTATATTTAATAGAATGAAAGGCCTAACTGAACTATATCTAGGAGTAAAAGAAAACCTGAACTATAATTAGGATTCTTATGTTCACTTGGTTCAGACACTAGGTAATAGTCTGATTTAGGTTTCAAGACACTAATAGACTTCATAGGGCCAGATGGTTGTCTGGTAAGATTAGTCGAGATGTACGCAAGCTGGCTCGAACACTCATGGATATAAAAGGAAAGGAAAAGAAAAAAAGACACTAATAGACTTCATATCGTGCTGTGATTCTGATTTTGTCTATCAAAACTGTTGAAGGATTCTTAATTTGTTTATTTTCAATATCTCTCTATGTTTCCTTCAAGCTGTTTAGGGAACAAACTTGTCGCTAGGGCTTATTAAGTTGTTTGAATTCTGTCCAGTGTGAAAATCCAGGATATACAACTATTTCTTGATCACCTCGTTGTATGTGAACGTGAAGATGGTCTACCAAAAATTGTTGTCTATAGCCTTCCTGCTACTGGAGAACCACTAAGAAGGCTTGAAGGTGGACGAGCTGTTAAATTTACTGATGCGACTTATTCAGTGGATTTATCAGAATCAGAATTCTCTTCCAGCATTTTACGGTTCTGTTACAGCTCAATGAAGACACCCCCCTCTACATATGACTATGATATGAAAACAGGAGTTTCCATTCTAAAGAAAGTTGAAACAGTGAGTAGTTCTGCTATCATGGTTATGATGATGTTTTTCTTTTTATGGGGATTTCCTGCAGGTCTAAATGAATAATTATTTATCTTTAAAAGTTGAGAAATTTTTAAACTCCCTGGTTTTTTTAAAAAAAATATTAACCAGATATGAATTGCTAGTGTCTGATTTTTCAACCCACTGCCCATTTGAGGCAAGGAAAATATGTCATTTCTGTATCTTGTCTTTCTAAAACGGTAAACCAGTGCTAACTTCTTCAACTTTGAGTTCGTCCTTTTACTTCTCTTCACTTTTTGTACTTAAGAATTTCTATTACCTTGGTGAAAAAAGAAAAAAGAAAAGTATATATATATATATATATATATAACAGCTTTGTGATATTTTACAAAGATCTCCTGTCTATATCTTGGTTGATTTTATACCTTTCATTGTCCACTACTTTATACTTGAGAATTCCTATTGCGTTTTTGTTATTCCATCCAAAAATCTCCTCTTTATCTTTCCTCTCCCAACGGGGATTTAAATTAATTGATCTCTGTAATGTAGTGAATTTTCCTCGACTTTTCTCAGGTGTTGGGAGGTTTTGATACTTCCAAATACGTCACAGAGAGGAAATGGGCAACTGCCACAGACGGCACTAAAGTACCCATATCAATTGTTTATCGAAAGGATCTAGTGAAACTTGATGGTTCAGACCCACTTCTACTTTACGGCTATGGTTCTTATGAGGTAATAAATCTATGTTGTATAGACTTAACGGATTTCAGAGTTTTGAAGTTATTTTAAAGTGAAAGAGTGTTTTTATTTCCTGGGGCAGTTTCTCTATATGGATCAGAGTTTTGTTAATGGAGCTCTACTTGATGTAATTATAATTTCTTCTCCTGTTTTAATTGATTTATCAAAATTTCCAATTCAGAAATATTTGTTGCTGCATTGTAATGCATTCTCTGACGATCTATGTTCCATTTTGATGGCCTAGTTTTTTGCCGCCACTTTACATGATCTTAATTATTTGCATATAACATGACCTGGCACCTAAATCTTACTGTTTACTTTCTTCTTGTTACTTAGCTGAGTTATGAATTGAAACAATGATTGTACCTGAACATGGTCCCGATACAAATTTCATTCTGTGAACAGGCATGCATAGACCCTAGTTTCAAGGCATCGAGGATATCTTTGTTAGACAGAGGTTTCATTTATGCAATAGCTCACATTCGTGGGGGTGGTGAAATGGGGAGGCAGTGGTATGAAAATGGGAAGTTGTTGAAGAAAAAGAATACATTCACGGATTTTATTTCTTGTGCTGAATACTTGATCGAGAATAAATACTGTTCGAAAGAAAAATTGTGCATTAATGGAAGAAGTGCTGGTGGTTTGCTTATTGGTGCTGTTCTAAATATGAGGCCTGATTTGTTCAAGGCTGCAGTAGCCGGGGTACCTTTTGTAGATGTAGTAACGACCATGCTTGATCCAACAATTCCCCTTACAACTTCGGAGTGGGAGGTAAATCTTTTAAGTCTTCCTATGTACGATCGTAATCTTTTCTGTGGTAACAATGATTCTTTGGTCAGTATATAAATAGACCAGTTTGAGGACTCAACTTGTAGCTTATAGCAGCATTGGCTTAAAATCACTTCTGGGTTCCCAAATTTCTAGTGCCATTTTGATCGAGAGTCCAATAGAGGTAGTTATGAATTTAATAAATAGGAAAGGGACAAAAGAGAGGGATAATGTTTCTGTTTAAATCACTCACATACAAACTTTTTTTTAGAAAAATTAATTTATTAGAAAAAAATGCATATGTTCGTACACATACTACAATGCTTTATTACATTTTTATTTTATTCTTCCGATTGCGGGGTTGTTAACTTACTCTTTGGCTGTGTAAATATCTCTACTCATCCAGTCTCACGTTTCTTTTTTCCTTCTTTTCGTTTATTGAAAATATGCTATGTTACAAATTGCAGCCCATTCTTTTTTACTTGCCTCTTACCTTCTTTTGAATTCTGCAGGAATGGGGTGACCCTAGGAAGGAGGAATTCTACTTCTACATGAAATCATATTCTCCGGTTGACAATGTAAGCACCATAGATTTTCTTGATCTACATATCTATATATTTTTTCAACAAATGGTGGGGGATTTGCCTTTAAGGGAGTGAGTAATGCTTGAGCAACATGTTTTTGGGACTTTTTGGCCATTTTCACCTAAACCTTGAAATGATCTCAACTTGATTTTGTATAATTTGAATGTATCCGTGGTTATGCGTTTTATAGAATATCTTTCAAACTTTTGTTCTCATTTGGAGATGACTTTAACTGCATTTTTCAGGTTAAGGCTCGAAATTATCCAGACATACTTGTTACTGCTGGCTTAAACGGTAAGTGTGAATTCAAGTGGAGTTAATTAATTTCCCTGCTTCTTCATCATTTGTATATATTTATTAATGTGCCAAGAGTTGTAGAGTCAAATAACTTGTGGGTTCTCCGTAGAGTTCTGATTCTCTCCAATTCACCAATTTTGCAATGGCATTTGATGGTGGTTGCTAGTTGCATCATTCCACTGGGTCCTTCATATTTAGAATGGAAAAGGAAATTGATGAATATATATTTTTTAAAAGAAATTCCTTCAAACAGTCAATTATATTTTGTCCATTTGGCAGATCCACGTGTTCTATATTCCGAACCCGCCAAGTTTGTGGCAAAATTAAGGGATACGAAGACTGATGATAATCTTCTGCTATTCAAATGCGAACTTGGCGCCGGACATTTTTCTAAGTCAGGGAGGTAATAGTTCTATGGCTGATTTCTTTTGTAGGCTTTACTCCGTGATCTGAGTTTTTTGGCTTGTTTATATCTCATCTCTTTTGGTTGCTTGTGCCTTCTTGTTTTCTTTCCGTTAATATGATAAAAATGTTGACTCTTCTTTAATCGATTACATTAAAGAAACTGTTGCCTTCGCTATTTGTACCATTTAATTCTGCTGTAGATATGAAGCTGTTACGATCTCTCATTACCTATTTCTGCAAAATAGTTATAAAAACTGTAATGAGGTAACTCGTAGTATTTAGATCATTGTGTATTTATTTACAGACCTGTAGATTTTAAAGTACAACTTCTAATTTTCTTATAAGAAAAGACAATTTTTAAGAACAGCTTCTAAAGAGCTCATCTCCATAGTTAATGTGTTGGGCACTAAAGGGACACATATTTTGTTTTTCATTTATAAATTTGATTTATTTTCCTCTTACTGCTGCTGTGCAGATTTGAGAAGCTACAGGAGGATGCATTCACCTACACTTTTATACTAAAGTCTCTTAACATGATTCCTGCACTTGGAAGTTGAGCAGAAAAGCTGCCCTTCATGGTAAACTAATACCATCTTTGAACTTTTTGAATTTTTTAAAAATTAATAAGAAACAATTTTATTGATAGATATGAGATTACAATAGGAAACTCAATCGAAATGAGTTACAAAATACTTATAAGAGAAGAAGTAATGAAAAAGGGGAGCATTTACACCATATAACCCACCAGAAAAACTATGGCATAAAAAAAAGGTCAAAAGGAGTGTTATGCATAGTATAATATTCTTTCTTTATTCTTGCCAAATGATCCAAAGAATTCTCAAACAAAATTCATCTAAAGAAGTTTTTTTTTTTTTTGTCCATTTTCCTTTTTAAACAGGTGATTTCTGGGAGTAAAAGTGAGGAGAGATGAGGCCTTATTTGGTTGGTAGAGGCTTAAGGCTTTCGATTTGACGCTATTTGGAAAGATCTTATTGAAGAGACATTTTTAGCTAATCTTCATTTGTGAGAGAGGACAGTAAGCAGTGGTGTTTTTTTTAAGTATAACAAGTGGGAATGAGAGATTCAGATTCATGACCTCTTGATCAGAAACGAGTGTCAATTATCGCTGAGCTAAGTTTATATTGACAGCGTTTGTAGTTGTATTGATTAGCATTAGAAAAGTCGACGTCACTTTTAGGTAATTAGTTAAGACTTGTGTGCATCCAACCTGATGTGAAATTAATGAATTAATTCAATTATAACAAACTTATGAAAGCACTTCCCTTCTTCCAACAACAGATAAATCAAAATAGATTGAGATTTTTTTTCCCGTGAGTATTTGAACCAGCTTACTGACAACTCCACAAAATGAGATTATTTTAGCATATTTCTTCGCTTATTTATGTTCGAATCAGAGTTGTATGGTCTTGTTATTTTTTTTCATATTTCTTTTGTACTTATTTTCTTGCATTTGAATTTAGTTAATTATTTATAGTTTTAATGCAATCTACAGTATAGGGGTGAATACTGAATTGGTATAAAAGGAAAACAAAGGTCCTGCACCCATGGGGACAGCAAAGGAAATTGTTTCTATGGGCCCAAAAGAAGCCCATATAAAATGAGAAAGGGGAGGAAGTAGCTGAACAGCAGAGGAAAATTACTAGAAGCAACACTAGCGTTCTTGTCATTTTTTCTTTCCTAATGTTCTGTTTTCTGCACATTTCTCTCTCTCTCTCTCTTCATTTCTTTTAAGTTAGTATGAATTCCTTTATCTTTCTCTTTGCTTGTTATGAGTTATATAGGACTCGTTTGGTAACAAAATCTAAACATTTGAAAACTATTTAGATTTTTTGTATCTCAATTTTTAGAAACATTATCAAAATTTGTTTCTTGTTTTTCGTTTTCAGTTTATTCCAACATAAATAAAAATATTGTTTTATCATTCTTGAATTTATGGGTGTTGTGGACCATACAATTTTATTTTATTTGATTAAAAAGAGGAAATATACATAAAAAATGGGAACGTTATTAAATGGGCTTCTATTTGTTTTAACTTCATCTTCTTGCTATGCCAACTAGTTTTAATTCTTAAAAAGTTAAAAATTAATGAAATTGGATAATTAATTGAAGGGCAGATACACGTATACTTTTGATTGAAAAACTTGGGAAAATTGGCTTATAAATTCATGATTTTAATATTGAGCTCTTATTGACTTAGAAATAGTTTGTGGATTTTTTATTTTTTTGGTTAAATTCCAACATTTTCGTATTATGCATTTTCATTTTGTGCAAGTATGTGAATTTGGCTTAAATAAATATAAGAACTACTTTTTAAGTATGACTTTGAATTCATTTGTAAAAGCGAGCATATTAATTGGTATATATCTCCACATGTACTCTGAAAAGAAAATTAAAAAAATTAATTCTTTTGTATTTATTTAGTTAATAATTTATTCAAACTTGCATAAATTAATTTTTGATCGATCTTCATTCACCAATTACTTTTGTGTATATCCCTTCTTAACACAGTAACAGATCACCAATTACTTTCGTGTATATCTTAACACAGTAACTAAAACGTAATAATGTTTTCAATCCCATTCTCTTTTATATACTTTTAATTTTAATTTTCAAACATGTCAGATGGCTACTTTTAATTTTCTATGTTTTTTAAGCACGTAATTCTTTTTTAAGCTAAGAGAGAGTAAAACTTTGGAGGTACAAATTATAGAGAGAGGAAATAAGAATCTTTTTTTGTTCTTTTATACTTTAAGTAATGATACGTTTTTAGAATACAACATGTAGAGGTGAAAATTTGAACCCACGATCTCTTGATCGGAGATATATACCTTAATCAATTGAGTTATGATCAGATTGACTTAAGTAATGATATCCTTAGTTAATACAAGTTGTGTCACATTATTTTAATAGAAATTCTAAGATAAAGGAATGTAGTGAACATCTAAATAAAGTAARACATGCCTTAATAGAGGGTGCATTTCCTTTTATTAAGAAAGCAAACTTTAGATTAGAGTAAGTAATCCAGCTACATTATTGAATCCACTTTATTGGGAAATGAAGCAAAAACTTTAACAAAGAGAAGAAGATTATGAATGAAATTAAATTAGAAGATATGCTTTGCTTTGCTTCTTCTCTAATATCATTTTCATCATCTACTTTCGCTACCTAGCTGTCATAAATAAGAACAAATTCGTATAATAATAATAATAAAAAATCTTAATTATCTTTGATCACGAGACGTATAAATAAGAACCATAATTCAAACCATCTGATATACACACATGTATTAAACGTGGTGATTAAAGGAGAAAACAGAAAAACAAAAAACAAGAATGTTCCCAAATGGGTCCGAAGAGTCCATTTGATTTCTTTTATAAGTTAACAAGGATAAAATAATGCTTTTATCCATGTTTTGTAAAAAAATTGGAAACAAGAATAAAAAAGAAATGCATTTGATTTTGTTGTTTTCAAAATTTCTACATATTTTTATTATTACTATTATTTTATTTTTGTACAAAACATGTTGAGGAGGAAAGATTCAACCTTTTAACCTTTTGAAAATGAATAAGATCCCTTAATCTGTTGAAGTTATTTTTTTAAATTGATTTTTGAATAATGAAAGAAGTAAATTACTAAATTTATTTATTAATGGTAAAGAAAACTAACAAATTAAAAAAGAAAAGAAAAAGTAAAATTGGCATGTAACAAAAGTCATGTCTATATTAGCTGGTTTCATGTTTTGTAAGCCTTTTTGGTATATATATATATATATATTTTTTTTTTTGGGGCTGTTTGCTTCTTACCTCCTTTCATTGACAAAAAGAGAAAAAAATAAAATAAAATAAAGGGACCAAACTTTATGTTTGACTGAAGCTGACAAAATAAATTTAGTTACTAATTAACTGCTGGTCTATCAATTCGGCCCAAAAATCTGACTTCCACCTGTAACAGTATTCTTTCATATTTAAAAAAAAAAAAGTTATTTCTAATATATATTTTTCCTTTTTATTGATTGATGTGTTGTTAAATGATCTGACTTTTGAGTAATACATGAAAATTTGCTTGATTATCAATTGATGTATCTTATAATTATTTAATAAAGTTATAAGAAAAAATGGTTTCTGACTCATCATTCGCTGCGGTTTATTTGAAGGAAGAAAAATGTAATATTAGCGTCGGTTTGTAATTTCGTTTATCATTTCTAAATTCTGAGAAATATAAACATTTAATAAGGATCCTAAACGTTATTGTTTCTTGTTTTTATTTTTGGTTAAAAAAAATTGCATAGCTCTCATACCTACAGATTCAAGAATGATAAAAATAATATTTTTATTTATATTTTGAAAAACATTGAAAATAGGACAAACAAGAAACAACAAATTTATTTTCCAAAATTTCTATACAATTTAGAAAATGTTTCCAAAAAAATTGGAAACAAGAAACACAAATGTTGCCAAATGCTTCATCTTCTTTTTCTCGTTTATCATTTAAAAAAATGTTTCCAAAATTGTGTAGAAACTTTTAGTTTCTTATTTCCGGTTCATTTTTCTAATTTTTTTTTTACGAGGAACAAGAAATATTTACCAAACGTAGTTATGTTTTTCTTGATTGAAAAAGAGACTTAACAGAATTAAATGAACCCTTAAACTAACCTAACCCACGTAGGTTTCATTTATTTAAATCAAATCCAACCTAATAAATTTACAATCCAACCCAAAACGTATCGATCGAGTTGGATTCAGTTGATCGAGCTTTTCAAGAGATCGATTTTTTTGTTACACCACTGGAAAATATAATGACAGAGAAAGTGAAGTTTTGGTGAATTGATGAATAAAAGAGAGGTGTGTTTTACTTTTACATTTCAAGTTGGAATTTTAAAAAACTTAAACAAGCAAAAATCTATAATCGAGAGAGGGAGGGACCCTCAAAAATGGAAAAGAGAGGACTTTCAAACTTTTCAACGTTTGAAGTTCAACCACTAATTTTGGACAATTATCCCTTCCCCCAATTATAATTATTAACTTTGGAAATGGGGTTTTATAGATTTAAAATATATAAAAATATTCATCAAAATTCTAATTGGACCAATTCACTTTTATTCTTGCTACCCGCAATCAGCGCATTATATATGATATAATAATTATTTTGTTTGTTTATTTGATTTATTTCTTTTCCAAATTTTATTTTATTGTTTTTTAATTCTTTAGGATTATTACCATAGTTTAAATACTTATTTATTTATTTATTTTTGACTTTGGTTAATTTTAGTCTACTCATATTAGTCTTTGTATTTTTAAAACGTCCATTTTGATCCGTATATTTTTAAAATGTGACTAACTTGATTCTTATTTATAAAATAAAAAAAAATTTACACAATGAAAATTCTTTAGTACAAGTTTATGATTAAGAAATTTAGTGAGTGTAATGTCATGCTAAAACTATGATGGAAAGAAATGAGATAAAATGAAAGAGAACAAAATGATTACTTTTTATTTTTTATTTATTAATTTTTTTAGTGTTGGGGGATTGAATTAAATATAAATTTTTTCATTACAAAATTCCATTAATTATTTCCACATCTTTCTATCTTCTTGATATGCCATCAAATTTCTTAGTTAGTGTTTTTAGTACACCATAATGAGTATTTTTTTAATACAATAAATTGGGAGATGGAGTTTGAACCTCCGACCTAATTAAAGGAAGGAGCATGTGCTAATTACCGGGGCTATGTTCATATATATATATTAGTACAATAAGTGGAGGTGAGGCGGTGGGGGAAACACGATTTCAATATTCAATCTGTCCCCTTGGTTCTGGAGTTCAAGATCGATTTTCGAATTCATGACCTATTGATCAGATACAATACCATTGAACTAAGTCAGTGTTGACAAGAGCTATGCTCATGTTTGCACCATAATGAGAGTTATGTTAACATAAAATGCTCAATTTTCAAACCGAGTTTGGCCTCAGCTATTCCAAGCTAGTCAAATTAATTGTCGAGTTTTAACTCTAATGGAAGGTTATTATAAAGTATGATGAGACATTAAATTATGTATAATGCAATCTTTAAATATGTCATTTAGTGATTAATTTGTATAAATGGATAACATGCTGGCTTAGGTTAGAATTGATTTATACAGGTGGATAACAATTTAAAGCGGGATTATAAGTATTTTTTTTTCTAGGGGTCGAAGTTATGACCTTTTGGTCAGAGACAATGTGTTAATTACCGTTAAACTAAACTCATGTTGGTAGTGTGATTATAATGTTATTAAGTGCATTTAAAATTATTTTGTACATTTTTTTTCTATAAAAATTACTTTTCTCAACGAAACCCGTTTCTCATCGGCAGATATATGCTGACAGAATCATAAAATATCTATACTAACAAAAAAAAATGCCTCTACATAGGTATGCATATGCTAACAAATTCTTTTTGGTTGAAAATAGAATTCATTGACGATTTTTTTTAATGATGACGAACATAAGCAAAAATCAAATTTTGTTGTAGTGTCAACCGAGATATCAATATGATCGAGAAATTTTTAACTTAGTTCAAAAGTGTAGGAGGATTCGAAACTCCAACGTTTAAATAAGTAGTGTCTCGACTAATTCAATTATGTTCATATTGACATTTATTCGATAAATTATTTTTTTAATACTTATTATTGTTATAATTTTTACCTCTTATGTCATGAAACATGCAAAAATAATTAGTATTTTGTTACTAATTCAAATAATGGGGATCCATGATTGTATGTATTCTCAAATGGGCCACTTCAAAAAGTCTAAGGAAAGTGTAAGTGTTCTGTTATTATTATTTTTAATCAATAACAAAGCTATTATATAAACTTTGATATGCTTTAATAAATGATATCATGATTGAGACTGTTTGATGAATAAATAAATCCCTCCCAAAGCTCAAGCAAACTTTTGGCCAAAAAAAAAAAAACTACTTAAAAATATTGATGGTACCAAATTATTACAATTAAGGATAATAAAGTGGATATCAATCAAAATATTAATAACTTAATTTTATAAAAATGATGGAAAATATGAATATTGTTGAAGATTTTTAAAAAAACCATGAAATCAACAAATTTAGATATAAATTTTTATTCTGACCCCTGAACTTTTTAATAATCTGTTTTAGTTTTCTTAAAATTTGAACTTATAATAAAAAATAATGGTTAAAAAAAAGTACATTTGGTCTTGTAATTTTATTAAAATAATGATTTAGTCCTTAAACTTTAATTTGTAGCGATTATTATACTTTCAAATTGATAACAATTAAGTACTTGAACTTTAGTAGGTAACAATTTAGTTCTTATAACTTAATATTTGTAACAATTTAGTCCCTATCGTGAATCTAATCAAAATTATGTGTTGATTTTTATGGTATAACAATTTATTATTTGTAATTTATAAACATATTTGGTCCCCTATATGTTTATTGATCTACGTATATAAGAAACTTAAAAAAAAAAACTTTCCTATATGGACTAAATTGTTATATATTAAAGTTTAGAAACTAAATTGCTACCAATTTGAAAATATAGGGACTAAATTATTATAAACTAAAGTTTAGAGACTAAATTGCTACTTCAATAAAAATATTTTTTACCAAAAATCAATTTAGTACTGCTCATTAATTTTTTTTCTAGTTATGTACAAGTATTTAAAATTTTACTAATTTAGAAACTAAAACAAAATAAATAGGAAGGTTCAAAGAATGTAGGAGTATTATTTTCCACCTCTTAAACAAGTTTAAAATCCCAACATTATCCTTTATTTAATTTAAATCGATGATATCTTTGTCAGATATTAACCGAAAAAATGGACCAAATCGAAATTATGTCAACTTAAACATGTTAATTAAGGACCTAATCCATAATTAATCAACTAAGAGTGTATATTAATAACCCAAAATCTAAGTGGAGAGATGAAATGATGGGTCATAGAAATAAAAACTATGATAAGTAACTGTGAGATTTGATATTTCTTCAAAGAAAGGAATTTGAATACAGTGCGCTCCAACTTTCAAATACAATTGGGATCCTTGTGATCAAACGGCTATAAACTGAATTTAAAAAAAAAAAAACTCTGCATGTGAATCTCTTTAATCTTATGATTCAAATTTACATTACAAATTCTCACTCTTTCGCTTTCTCCAAAAAGCACTTCTTCTTCTTCTTCTTCTCCATCTTCTGCTTTTGCTCTCTCTATAAATACTTCCTCCATTCTCTCCTCTTTTTGAAGCCTTGCAAAATTTTATCAACAACAGCCTTCTTTTTCATCATTATTCCTTCATGTCTACGTGAAAGAATAGAATAAAAATCCTTGTCTGTCCATCACTTTTTCCACTTTTTTTTCGGTTTTGTTTTTCTTTTTGCCCCCTTCTTTCTCCGGTTGATTTTCTGCACAATTGTCGGATCTGATTGACACCCATCTCCCCAAAATGCAGTTTCTGAAATGGGTTTTGCTTTTTCTCTGGTTGTGTGATGTGTTGTTGGCCGTGTCGGTTGCGGAGACGGGGACGGGGGTGGCGGCCCCGGTTTGTGCAGGGGAAGATAGAGCTGCATTGATGAGCTTCAAGGCCAGAATTGTGCAGGACACGACGGATATTCTGGCATCGTGGACGGGGAGGGACTGCTGCAGCGGCGATTGGGAAGGGGTCGAGTGCGGCGTGATGGGGAGAGTGACGAGCTTGCAGCTGCAGAGGCCAGGGAAGAACAGTGAGCTGTTCATGAAGGGAACTCTTTCTTCTGCTCTTGGTAACCTGCATTTTCTTGAGGTAATTGTGATAAGTGGAATGAAGCATATCAGTGGCTCAATTCCTGAGAGTTTCACAGCTCTGTCTCGTCTGACCCAACTTGTCCTAGAAGACAATGCCCTTGGAGGGACCATCCCTTCAGGTTTAGGTCACCTGCCCTCTCTCCAGATCCTCTCTTTGAGTGGCAACCATTTGAGTGGCCAGGTTCCACCCACCATAGGGAACCTTATGAACCTTCTCCAGCTAAATTTAGGAAGAAATTCACTTTCTGGTCCAATCCCACAAACTTTCAGAACCTTCCCCACTTTACAGTACTTTGATCTCAGCTTCAACAAGCTCTCTGGTGCCCTCCCAGAGCATGTGGGTCAGTTCAAAAACCTCACTTTCATTGACCTCTCCAACAACCAATTTTCAGGGCCAATTCCCATCTCCATTTTCAGCTTGCCCAAGCTTTTGGACCTATCATTAAGCAACAACAGACTCACAGGAAACATCCCAGTCCAAATTGATGGCCTCAAATCCATCACTACTCTCTCTCTCAGTGGTAATCAACTAAGAGGTCACATACCAGCCTCCATTTCTAAACTTCAGAATCTATGGAACCTAAATCTATCAAGAAATGGGCTATCAGATCCATTGCCAAGCATTCTTGCAAGCAACATCCCTTCCCTTTTGGCAATAGATCTTTCTTACAACAACTTCAGTTTTGGGAAAGTTCCTGATTGGATCAGAATCAAGCAGCTCTCAGAGGTTCATCTTGCGGGGTGTGGTCTCAGGGGATCCCTCCCCACATTCAGAAGACCTGATTCTTTAACCTCCATAGACCTCTCAGACAATCACTTCTCAGGTGGGATTTCAAGTTTCTTGACTAACATGTCAAGCCTCCAAAAACTCAAGCTCTCAAAAAACCAGCTGAGATTTGAACTCTCAGAACTCAGATTGCCAAATGTCCTCTCTTCTCTTGAGCTTCACTCCAATCAGATTTCTGGGTCTCTCTCCAACATCTTGAACAGCAAAACTAGTGGATTCTTAGAGGTAATTGATGTGTCCACCAACCAAATTACAGGTGCCATTCCAGAGTTCAGCACTGGCTTGGGTTTGAAGGTCCTCAACATATGGGGAAACAAGATTTCAGGCCACATTCCGGGCTCAATTTCAAACCTGGGAGAGCTAATAAAGTTAGATATTTCGAGAAATCAAATACAAGGAACAATCCCCACGAGTGTTGGAGCTCTGGAGAAGCTCCAATGGCTGGATCTGTCCATAAATTCTCTCACAGGCAAAATACCAAACACCTTGTTGGCAATCCAGCGGCTGCGGCACGCCAGCTTCAGAGCGAACAGATTGTGCGGAGAAATCCCACAAGGGCGGCCGTTTAATGTGTTTCCGGCCGCCGCTTACGCCCATAACCTCTGCCTTTGCGGGACACCATTGGCACCCTGCAGAAAAACAGAAGAAGAATGGAAGAAGAAGACGAACCAGTGAAATCGAAGAACACAAAAGGGTACCCAGAAACGAAAAATGAGAAATGGCTGCTATATTATTAGAATTGTCGCTCATTTATCTCCGATGAGCCCCATGGCGTGGAGGAGCTAGGGATCGAGAATCTTGCTCCTTTAAAATAGCTAATAAATTCCCATATTTGTTTTTCTTCTTCTTCTTGTTGATTTGATTATATAGTTAACTTATCTTGTTTACTAAGATTGATATCTTAAACTTCTCTTTCCAGGAGAACATAAAAGAAAAATGGTTGTTTTTTTTTTTTAATATACGATTGAGTTAATGCATTTGATGAATGATACGTGAAAATCGAGTTCTCTCAAATTCTCATGTTCTTACAATTATCAAATTGTCATGTTCTTATGGAGATTATTTTTTATTTCGATTTGAAATGAGTTATTTATTCTTTAACTCAACATCATGACATGAGATTCGAATATAACAACTGGACATGAGATTCGAATATTCCATCTTTTGATTAAGGATATATAAGAGTACACATTGTCTATGTATATTTAAAATATTACAGTTAGATTTATTGCGTAGTAAATTAAAATATAAATTTTTGTTAAAGTTTATATTGGATAATGAAATATGTTTTATATTTATTTTGAGACTGGTTTAGATCTTAATACTATTACGCAATTTAGAAATTCCTTCCAAAGTGTGTGCGCGCATATATATATATATGTATATATATATATTTTCTCTTCTTATGTTATTTAGGTAAATCCATCTGATTTAATGATCAATATAATATGACTGCAACTTTTATCGTCTTTGATGTATAAAATAGAAATTAAAAAATGTGTTTTAATCATGCATCTAATAATTATGATAGTGTTGTGATGTCATGTTAAATAATAAGATAAATTTCTAATTGAGTACTCAAAAAACTTGGTTAGTTTATTTTGTTTTAGATGTTGTAAATTTAAACATGATTAAGTAGTAAAACATAACTCTTTCTTTGAAAGTATTGTTGTACTTTTAAAAAAGAAAAAAAAAACTTTAGAGCCGAAACAGTAGGGGTAATTTGGGCCACGGAGTTTAAGTCGGACCATATGTTGGGCTAAATGGGCTTCATCCTGCATCTAAAAGCCCGATACAAACTTTGACTAGTGGGCTATTTTTAAAAAGAAAAAAAATAAAATAATAGGACACGTGGCTTAGGGGTTTCTCGTTCCAAGTGATTAGCTAAGAAGATGAGCAAAATATAAAGTGGATAAATATTTTATCATTCATATTGGCCTATTCTCTACTTTAGTACATGATAAAAACATAATCCTTTCTAATTTTAAATCAAAATTATATCTTATGTAAAGATCTATATTATTGGTTCAAGATTCTGTTGAGCTACCAAGGTCGATCATGTGGTAACTTGAACGAGTTGACGAATTGCGAGCTTCTGTAATGACCTGCAAGGAGGAACAAACATTCGAATGCTCAATTCAGTAGGGTTCGAGCTCAAGTAGATCGTTATTGGAGCAGAATTACGTACCTAAATGAGCGGAGCAGTGTCCCTTTTATAGACAGCAGGAGGATAAGGCCGTTGGAACCACTCCGACAAACAAAATTACGGGCTGCAATAACATATTTTGGTTCAGGCATTTGCTCATATAATCTTACTAAAGAAGGAGCCATTTTCATTATTACGGTACCCGCTGTTAAAATTAAGTCTGCCTGTCTAGGACTAGATCTTGGTACCAGTCCATAACGATCAAAGTCGAATCGTGAACCTATTAATGAAGCAAATTCAATGAAGCAACAACTGGTACCATAGAGAAGCGGCCATAAACTGGAGAGTCTACATACAAGTCTATATAACATAAAAAAGCAGGATGCCCATGACGTGTACGTGTGGGATGAACCAAATCCTCATTGAATTTTATTTTTCCATTAGAAGGAGCTCGTATATGTTCTGCAGTACCCCCTGTGAATACTCCGCCCGTATGAAAAGTTGTTAATGTTAGTTGAGTGCCCGATTCTCCAATAGATTGACCCAGCCCCAGGTTGACTGTTGGGCCTGAAGTCAGAGTCCTCATGGTGGTTGGAGAGTACTTGGACAGTTTTTTAGGTGGGACCTATGTGGTAGGTTGGGTGTTCTCCCTTAATCTAGTTGGATAGGTTTGACCTTACCGAACTGACTTGATTGATCCACGTATCATGTTATATTTTTACTTCCAACATAAATTATTAGAAAGATTCATGTTTTGGTTTAATATAATGTTAGACACAACTTTGATAACCGAACTTATAATTTTAATCGTTAATTTGTTCTATAAAAATTATGTCTAAGTTTTATATGTAAGTATAAAAGAAGAGAGAACCCAAGTCAATTTTTTTCTTCTAAGAATTATAGTTTAAGAATATCAAATTAAAGTAGACGAAATAAAAAGGAATCATAAAATTATATGTTTGTAGATATTTTGTGGATAGATTTAAATTAGGAAAAAATACACTTTTGGTCTCTGAAGTTTAAGCTAAATGTTTATTTGATCGCTAAAGTTTTAAAATAGACATTTTTAGTCCATAATGGCGTCTATTTGATCCCTAAAATTTTAAAATAAACATTTTTAGTCAAATTTGAAAAATAATCCTAAATGATCCTTAAATTACTTTTAGTTGAATAATTTTGAAATGGCGTGGCATTTATTGGACAAAATATATTAATATATTTTCTTATGACTGGACTTCTCTTATTTATTTATTACCTTTTCACCTCCTTCTTCTCCCTCATCTCCGGATGAGGCTCACATCTACTACTGTCAACCATCGGTCCCTAAAGTAACAAAATTTATTTAATAAGACAATTTTAAGAGTGATGTTGAGGATGAAAATATTCAGACGGCTCGAGGGAAAACTCTCATCTCTCCTTCATGGATGGCGAAGGTTACCGGAAATTGGGTGGTAGCCAGTGGCCTGTAAACCTGTTGGAGGAGAGGAGGAAGAAGAAGATGTAAAGGGTAGAGATAAATTTTTATAAATAAATGAGAAAAGTCCGATAAAAAAATTAAATTAATACATTTTACCATGTTAGCGCCGCGTCATTTCAACATTAGTTAACTAAAAGTAATTTAAAGACCATTTAAAACTAATTTTCAAATTTTAGGGACTAAGAATATTCATTTTAAAACTTGACCAAATAGATACGTATTCCAAATATCAAAAACTAAAAATGTCTATTCTAAATAAATACCAAATAGACACCTGACTTAAACCTCAAGTGTATTTTTCCATTTAAATTATTTGTTTAGAAAGATATGCTACTCTGTTAATTTACAATCCAAGATACATCAGATTAAATTATTTACTTTTTTTTAAGGAGTTTTATCATTTATGAACATTTAAATAAATATATAAATTATAAAAAAAAAAGAGTTTTTAAATAAAAACTCTAACCCTATTCTAGCCCTCAGTAAAAACACCCTAATTTTCTTTGTGAACATAATAAATGAACAAACCCTTAGTTATGCATAAAATATAATAGTAGTTAATTGAAGATTTCTACTAACTGGTTGGTAAATAATTTTAAATAAGTATTGTTAAGGGTCAAATTGGGCAGACGCCCAAAAAATAAAGGAAGGTTGGGCCGAAAAAGGCCCAACCCATCTCAATGCGCTGGCCTTTTATTGCGCGGCACAATGCCGCACAATGAGGGGCTAGGAGGTCATGTGCGGCCCACCATCTCAATGATGGTAGGCCTTGAGTTTTAGTGCGGCCCAATTAGCCGCTAGCCGTCTATTGGTATTATTATAGAGTGGAATATAGTACTGGAGTCGACTTTAACATTCTCCCTACACTTTTCAATGACTCATTCAGACTGTCAATAGAAACTATAAATAGAAAGGGTCTCCGACCTTTCAGGACACGTCATCCTCTCTCAAGCAATTCAACCCAAGACTTGCTCATTTCTCTTTCTCATCTTAAACTTATATATTGATTTAAGCATCGGAGTGTGGTAGGCCGATACCATACCGACATCCACCCACCTTCTATTTTTGCCTTTCGCCTTAACTCCCAAACGACAAGATCTCGTCCTTCTTGTGCTCACAACCTATCGGGTCTCTACTTCTTTTAGCTAGACCCAACCTCTTTTTATCACTCAATGGTCGATCCGATTCACCGACTTCGGGTCCGACCAACTTACCAAAAATTGCATCAACAAGTATTATTCAAAATTATAACTATAAAAAATAATAGTACCGAGACATCAATAATTCTCGTGATGAGTAGAAAGTTGAAATCTCTACCACGCATAATTAATTATATCTAAAAAAAGAACAAATAAACAACAAAACCTCCATTAAATTCTTCATTCCAATGCATTTCTTCCAAAATATTACCTCTTTCCTGTGCTCAGAGTTAAAAAATTAAAACCACAACATTATATTACAAAAACACAACCAAAAACAAGCCACAACATTTCTTCTTCTTCATTCTTCATCATCATATCATAATATATTTTTTTTCTGCGAAGTTTCGAATATTAAAGAAAAGAAAAATGCAGAAATTGATCAGCAGAAGAAGCCAGAATTGGCATTGTCGAAGTTCAAAGCATAACTCAAAGGGTCGTAGTGGAAGCTGAGGCGCGCCTTCCGGTGGGACCCCGCCGCCATCTGCCGCCTGATCTCCGCCCTCACCCGCCGGAATAAGCTCCTGATCTTTCTCTTCCCACGCGCCACCGCCGTACCACCGCCATCTCCGGCGCCGGAAAAAAGAATAAAAGAAAAGAAAAGAAATTAAAATCCCACGTGAGGAGAGAGAGGAGAAAGGGCTTCTGAAGGATTTTAGAGAGAGAGAGAGAGAGAGAGAGATGATATGGAGAATGGATAGTTATGGGGTTTGGTCATATCATAAGGTTTTGAAAGCTACCTCAGGTTTTAACTCAATTTGTTCATTGCCTTGGCTGGGATGGATTTCAAATTATCAATTTCTTTTTCCTTAAAAAACAAGGTTTCTAGATCTAGTTTTGGTGGATTAACTTTTAAAGCATTATTTTATTTTGTTCTCGAACACTTAATTGTTAAATCATCAATGAACTCGAAAACATATCATTTATGAATATCTAACGCTCCCCTCATCTTACTTGTGGGTTGGAAATTTAATTTGCACAAAATTCAATCGGTGAAAACCAACATTAAATGAAGAGTAAATGACAACATAGAGACTTTTTACTTTGATATCATTTTAAATCGTCAATAAATCTAAAAGTTTAAGCGGATTGATTAGTAGATTATATTTAAGCCACATAAAGCTGGCTGAGGTGGATACATTGTGTGGGCAAATATATCATGTACAAAAATAATTGGAAGGACTATTTTTTAAATCTTTTTTCTAAGTTTTCAAAGCAATAAGATAGACATTTTTTTTTTAATTTTGGGAACAAAATGTAAAGTTTAATGTTGAAAATAGACTAAAAATTCTGAATGGGGCGACTATATATAGATATTAGGTAGGAAAAGGATAACAAGGAGTACCATAAAATAGTTTCAAAAGCAAACATTAGTTTTCGAAACTAAGAAATAAGAAAATGGATTGAAATATATAGTTTTGGGAGTACTGAGTTGAACGTACAACGTAGTAGTTTAAGTGGTAGAATGACGACATACTTTAACTAAGTAATATGATTGGACGTGACAATTATGCAAATAGTTGTCAATGGACAATATTGGACAAAATAAAGTGTTTTTTTATAAAAGGGAAAAACAGGAAACCAAAATAGAACATGAAATTGGAAACAAGTGAGAGAGAAAAGTTTATGAAAATAGAATTGAGAAAAAGAAGAGAAAATAGAGAGGGAAAAAGAAGTTTGGAAGCAATAGAGAGAGAAGAAGGGTGATGTGAGGA